GGAAAGAGTTGGAAGAAAATAGGTATTTATTTATATTTACCCTAGTCATTCTGACATCACTTGTTATTGCTAAATTGCATTTGCCATGGAGACATCTAGTTCAATAATTCAGTGATGACCAAGGTTGTCAATCTCGAGAGTTTACGTAATCTCGTGGAAGCTCCGTAAACTCGTATCGTAAACTCGTCTCGTAAACTCGTAAGAGATTACTCAATAATAAATAAATAAATAAATAAATAAAAATAACATAATAATTGAATATTTTAACTCCCAAATAGCAAATTACATTAATAATAAATGTTCTTAACACAAATTTAAGATCAAAAGTTCACACAAATGACAAAACACAAGTTCTTAAAAATAGACAAATAAAAAACTAAGACATCACATGAGTAACGGAGGTGAGGAGCAGTGGTGCGGCGCGGAGGAGGTGTTGCGCTCGCGGTGGCGAGGCGCGCGGAGGAACGGAGGTGAGGAGCGGTGGTGTCGCGCGGAGGAGGTGTTGCGCGCGGAGGTGGTGTGCGCGGAGGAGGTGTGTCGCACGCAGAGGAGGTGTGTCGCGCGTGGAGGTGTGTCGCGCGCGGAGGTGTGTCGCGCAGAGGAGGTGTCGCGCGCGGAGGTGGTGTCGCGCAGAGGAGGTGGTTGAGGCGCGGAGGTGAGGAACGGAGGTCAGGAGCTGAGGTGAGGCGTGGAGAAGAGAAAAGAGTCGTGGAAGAGGCGCTGCGGAGGTTAGAGGAGAAAAGGAGACAAAGTGCCCTAACCCACAACACAAAAAGTGCGTTTTGTGTAAGTGAAAAAAAAAAATGGTGAACTCTTAATATCGGAGGTAGTCTCGCGAGTTTACACGAGTTTACCCGAGTTTACCGAGATTGCTCCGAGTTCACTAAAAAACGAGTTTACCTCCGAATTGTACAGGTAAGCTCTTGTAAACTCGTAAACTCGTACGAGTTTACGAGTTGTCACTAGAGATCGACAACCATGGTGATGACCTTTACATGTGATTTACAAATTTATAACTGCGATGCATATTTGATTATTACCAGAGTGAATATTTAAACTTACCCAATATATTTGAACTGAACAGATAGGATTGTAGATTTCTAAACTAATTTAACTAAAATGCTTTAGAAACATCATAAATCACGCTTTCAATGCAGAAAGCAGACCCATCCATCATCTGTTTTGGGGTACAATCAGCTGGTGTTGCTTTAATCTTTAAGGAACATGAAAACTATATGTAATGAAACTTTTACATTGTTACATACACATTATCTCATCATTATTAATTGTTTACTTGGTATCAGAGTGGAGCTAGAGAATGCTGCAGTTACAAAGGCCATTCCATTCTCTAACACATCCAAACATCCTCCTTGAATTCTAACTGTAAAATTCACAATGATTGCTATGAAAAATCATGTTACAGGACAAATCATTATTGGTGGATAATTTTGAGACATGGAGATTTGGATATCTCCTAAACCAGCTGTAGTTACAATGGTATCATATGCAGTGGTAATTTTCTTGCTCCTAGGTCAAGGTGAATACGTGGAGAAGTGTTTGGATAAGGTTGAAATGTGATCTGTGGCTCATGAATTTAATATCCACAACTAGGTAGAAGGAGTTTAAGAGACATTTAATCCAAATGTGAATGGAAGCTTTGCTTGAAAATTCATAAGTACAAGTGCGAAGTGCCTGTTGTTTTTTCTAGGCTAGCTAGGAAAATTCTTAAAATTTCTGTCCCTTCCTGATTAAGATTAGTGGAGTCAGGCTTATTCTCTTCATTTTTCCAGCAACAGCAACATGAACATGTCCAATCTTCCAGTCCCCATTCTCAACTGGTTTCCATGCACTTCTCTTGGCTGTAATATGCCTTGTTGCAGTAGGTGCACGTGCACCACAATCCATCATTTTTCTTTTCCCATTTGCTGAGCCACTTGATATGTTCAGTCACCAAAGCTGAACTATCATTAGTTGGGGTAACCAGCATTAAACTTCTGGTGTCTTCATTTTGTACAATAGTCAGCACATCATTGAAGCATTTAATTGTTGTTTTCCCAAAATTTGAATTCTGATTTGATCAAACTCAGAATTCAAACCAACAAGGAAGTTGTAGGCTCTGTCATGCTCAATTATTTCCTTGAGAACTGCGTCATCATCAGAACACTTGGTTATTATTGCTCTATTATGTTCAAGCCTCATCCATTGAGGCTTCAGTTGATTAGCATATTCAATAATTATTTTGTTCCCTTGTTTTGCCACTACTGTTTTCACCTTTACTTCATATACTTGAACAACATCTTTGGCTTTGGAATAGGTTTTCTCTACTGCATCCCATATGTCCTTTGCAGTGTTGAGAAAATGCAAGTGTCACTTATTTCTGGGATCATCAAATTCCATAGCCAAAACTGTAATCATGGAGTCTTCTATGTCCAATGCTGTGAACGTTGGGTCTCCATTTTTAGGCTGATTAATCGGTAGAGTAAATCAGCTTTCCTTTTGTATTGTACGGACAAGTTGAGATAAATCTTCCAATTCAGCCTATATGCAGAATGGATACTCTGCTATTCTCCACGCTGTTGGGATTGGAATCTCCTTTTTGTCAACCATGTTCAATATCTCCACTTTGTTTAACACCAGAAAAATAAAGTCCAAACCACGTTATCAAAGTTTGAAGGTTACATAGTGTGATAAACCAGTGCATATAACAGGCAGAAGATGGGATCAGCTATTATGAAGGCCCATCAGAAGGAGAATGACAGGCAGAGAGTTATTGGCAGTGAAGGCCAACTGACTTCGGAAGGATTTGTTTAGGGTTTCAGTGGAAGGCAGTTGTAGTCCTAGTTTTGGAACAGTTCTGGCACCATCAAAATTAAGGCTGGTGTACATATTTAATGAAATAATCAATCAGTTTATACATAGAGGTCCTTGCACTAATTAAAGAAACAAATGTCTCCCTTTTCTAAGCTGTAGTCTCATGATTATTGGGATTTACACTGATTACTAACTAATTACATATTACAAATTAATTACAGGATAAGTTAAAATAAAATATATACATTCCTAAAATAGCACAGATTTCTACAGTTTTTCACTTCTTTGGTTAGAATTAAACAACTAAATTTAAAACCTTCAAACTTCTATGTGCACCTTTCATAATTTTGTTTGTAATTTGTTCTGTGATGGAGAATTGTGTTGTGTAGACATAGGAATTTGGTCATGTAGGTTTGATGAAAGCATTATGCTCATTTTTCTGACACCTGTTTATAATGTGAAATGCAGCTGAGTTTTTTCCTGATAGATCAGAAGTTCAGTGTCTGCACAGATGGCAGAAAGTTCTTAATCCAGAACTTGTTAAAGGACCTTGGACACAAGAGGTTGAAACCTAATCCTTTCTCATTCTTATTTTTCCTACAATTTTATTCAAGCAAGAACTTCTCTTCCTTGGCTTACAGGAGGATGATAAAATTGTTGAACTAGTGTCAAAATATGGGCCTACAAAATGGTCTTTGATAGCCAAGTCTTTACCTGGTCGAATAGGCAAACAATGTCGAGAGCGGTAGGTTAACTGAAGATCCTGTGATGGTTATTTCTTTCTGTATATTCTTTTTCAAGCCTTGTTATTGATAAATGTGGTACTCCATGTCATTAAATAAAATTTTTAGATATGTTTCTTGCACATTGCCTTCAACTTTTCATGATAATCTTTATTCCATCTAAATGTCCATATGTTTTCAGGTTTACATATGAACTACTCAGATTATAGTGATTTTTTCTTTTCAAATGCTTTCAGGTGGCACAATCATCTTAACCCTGACATAAAGAAGGATGCCTGGACTTTGGAGGAGGAATTAGCCCTGATGAATGCTCATCGTATACATGGGAACAAATGGGCTGAAATAGCCAAGGTCCTTCATGGAAGGTCTGTTTTCTTTTAATTCTTTAGTTGTTGTGAAGGAAATTAAGGTCATTGCAAAAATCATGGAATGTACTCTTTATGTTATGCTAATTGTGAGTATCATACTATCATCCTGGGCTAGTGTCTACGACATTTTTTTTGGGTGGTGGTACTTGGATGTATCTCTCTCAGCAATCAAATCTTTGGATGATATATTTTTTATACAACCCAAGATGAGATAAGAGGCCCAAAAGAGCAATTGGACCCACAGAGGGCACATAGGCCCACGATCTGGGAAGTCTATACCAGTAGGATTAGAAGATTTAGTGGCTGAGTTGGCAGAGATAGAAATAGGAATAAGGAGGGGGGGGGGTGGGGGGGGGGGGGGGGGTTGGGTTTACGGTGATGGTGACTGGAGTGCCAAGTAGTGGGACAGAGAATGATTTTCTGTTTTGTTATGGGTAGAGAGCAGTAGCTTTCTATAGGAGCGGGGCTCTGTGGCAGAAGGGATTCATTCTTTCTGTAAATTCATTTCTTGTCTACGTAATATTTAGTGATTTTTACTCTCTCTATTACTGTTTAATTGATTATATTGCTGACTTGGATTTGGGTTTGTATCAATTTTACTTGCATTTAATTTTTACTATAAAATAAGAAATTTATCGAGACAAAAAAAAAATACAGAGAAATGGGGAATGGGGGTGGGAATCTTTTTAAAATGAGACAGTAACATGAACATATTAAAAAAAAAAAAAATTTTAACAAAGCTACTCAATTCTGAAGATGGCTGTTGGGGAAACCCCATTGAAAGGACATGTGATTTCTCGTCAATACTCTTGTTTCTCTTTAATGAACTTTTCATTCAATCCACCTCCAACCTCAGCATAAATAAATAAAAAAATGTACAATAAAAGAGACATGCTGTAGTTAGCATCAAGCAGTAGCTATTCTACTGGTGATAAGCAATATTGATCTTCTTAATTTGAAAATCTTGAAGCCTATATATCTTGCTTTTCTCACATGTCAATTTTTTGCTATACAAGTTTGCGCTGAGATGTATTTCTTGAGGTTCTTCCTTTTTACAATTTCTGAACATATAAATTCTGAAGATTTTCTGCCTACTTCATGCGGACCTGACAAATTTATTCAACGTTCTTCAAAACATATTTAGTGGAAAGCACCACACTTGTTCAAATAAGTTGTAGAGTGAATCCCTGCAGAAAAAAAAGAAAAGAAAAAAAGAATACTTCGATTGTCGTATAAGTTATGCAAGAAGGATGGCACACTGTTGAATACACGATCTCCTAGTGCAAGATTTATTGTGATGGAATGACATTCCATTTGAATTATATTACGGAAAATGCTAATATTTGTCTATGCGGATTTTCTTCTGCAGGACAGACAATGCAATAAAGAATCACTGGAATAGTTCTTTGAAGAAAAAGTTAGAATTTTATTTAGCTACAGGAAGACTTCCTCCAATTCCCAAGAATAGTCCACAAGTTGCTGTCAAAGATACAATTAGACGTTCTGCTAGCAAAACACTACTTGTTTGTTCAAATAAAGAATTAAATGCAGTTGTTGAAACATCATCTGAAACTACAGCCATTAGTAAGCTAGATGACAGTGGCAGGAATCAGTTTGAGTCCTCAGGAACAGTTAGAGAAGTTGGTGACTGTTCAAGTGTTCCAGCAAATGAATCTGCCGATTCTGACTGTGTAGAATGCAAGCCTGGACCATCCAACATCGATCTTGGCTGTAGCAACTCAGAACAAGTGTCAAGAGCTAATTTTGGAATAACTTACGGTCCAAGATCTGAGAATTCTGGACTCGTTGGAAACTCAACCTTTGACCATTGTACAAACAATGGTGACATGAGAATTACCAGGTTAATTGGAACATCTTCGCAAGAAAGTCCAACCTGTGGTTCTTTGTGTTATGAGCCACCACAATTAGATGGTTCAGTTCCCATAGATTCTCTTTATTTAAATTATATTTGCCAGCAGAATGAATACCGTATGAGTCCAACGTTGTCACCTATTGGTTTCTTCACTCCACCTCGTGTGAAGGGTAGTGAATTATGCACCGAGACACCTGAATCAATATTGAAAAAGGCTGCTAATACTTTTCCAAATACTCCTTCCATATTGAGGAGGAGAAGAACTGGAGTCCAAACACTCACCAGTCCTAGTAAAGTTTTGAAGGTAGATAATGATCCACATACTTCTAATGAAATAGAGAGAACCAAATATGATTCTGGTTCTCGGCATTTGTCTGGGAGTCCAGCAAGCCATCACAATGGGATTGTCAATGCATCTCCCCCGTACAGGTTAAGATCCAAGAGAACAGCAATTGTCAAGTCAGTGGAGAAACAACTGGAGTTTGCCTTTGACAAAGACAAGAATAATGACAAGAGGAGCAACGTGATAACTGAAGATTGTCTACATGAAACAAAACTGGTTGTGACATAGTGCATAAATGGTAAGTTATTGCTAATTATGTCTTTAAATGTATTGTACTATCTTTAAGCTTAAGCTTCAAATCATAAGAGAAATGACTACCTACTTGGTGAAGAAGCTAGGCTTTCTTATAGGGATGAAGTTGATCCAGAAACAAACTCAATCCACTAATTGAGGATATTAGTTATATTTTGATTTCATAATGTTTTCAATAAGTTTGAGGAAAGATAATTTTATTATCAGAGGTGTTACAGTTGTCTTTCTTATCCAATCTGTAAAAGTCTTCGTTTTTCCACCAAATGAAAGGACAATTTTTGTGAGCTCAAACTAGATGTTTTTAATATGATTTTCTCACTCTGTTTACTTAAAAGTTATTTATTAGCAAATCAAATTATCAATGATGCCTGTGATAAGAATTTTTGTATCATATCACTTCTTCGGATCTAGATTTGTGGTCCTATTTCAATCTTGCATCCTTCTGTCAGACACAAAATGATTCGAATTAGCTCATTATGCGTTGGGGATTTGGAGAAGTATATAACAAAAAATGCTACAAACTTGTGGTTCAAAAATATTTTGTTCTTTCAAAGTTAAGTTATTCAAACTGTTTTTGATCATTTTGAATTACATATGATATATTACAATGGTACTATTCAATCTTGTCTTGCAATTTTCTATAATGAAAAGAACTTAAACAACTTTTGGAGCTATTTTCTTGAGCCCTAATCCAAATTTTTTTCTTTTTATGTGGTCATATGCTTTAAACTTCAAACTCACAGGAAACAAGGACCAAGCTAGAATTCAAGCTTGTTTTTCTCCTCTGATTTAGGGTGTACAATCTGTCAATTTTTCCTGTTCCATCAGAAAAACATCCAAAGAATAAAATGGTTCCATTCTACTTACCATTAAATATCTAAACATAGTCCTGCGAGTTGTTGGTTTTTTTTGTACAGCTTTCCATCTAAACTAGACGAGCTATATAATTGAGCAGGTTTATTTACCTATATTTCTTTTGGCAGGAGATAGAGTATTCTCCTTGCAGTTTTTGTTATCTGATGATCAATCTTCCGTCTAAGTGGCTCATAGTTATGAATCCTAATAACTTTTTTTGAATTGATGCAGGGATTTGGGTTGGACTTACTCTTGAAGCTGGCTGATTGTTTCTCTATATTGTTTGACAACTTTTACGATTTATATGAAGAAAATTCAGTGCAAGGGTCGCAATGACTTGGCACTTGTCCACACTTGATAGTTGGCTGTCATTTCCATCACACATCAACAGAATTCAGCAACAGGTAGGGGTCTGGTATGTGTAGAATAAGAATTGATAAATTCCATTTACTTGTGGATACATATAGTTGTATTTATCAGATTTGTACAGTTATGCCTTAGGAAAAATAAATTTTCTGAAGTTCCATCAATGTTTTAAGATTCTTTCAATCCTTTTTCTAAATTATTTATGGACCGACCTGCTAATAAGTGTGTAACCTTTACATTGTGGCACTTGCTAGTTTAATGTAAACTTTACATTGAAATTACAAAGCTACTACTGTGAATTCAGAATGGAAATAGAGCATGCTCATCATGAAATTATCTTCAAAATAAAAGATAATTAATCCATGTAAGTGATATAAGTGGTATAACATCTCCATAAGTGATATATGTGTTTAAGTTAAATAACAAGTAACAAGAACTTGTTTGGATACAAATTTAGAAGTACTTTCGAGAATTTTTCTACCGAAATAATGAGTTTTTTTTTTCAATAGAGAAGCGCTCTTGAAAGCAATTTTATTTTGTATTCAAACATGCTCTAAGTCTATATATGTGTGCAGTGTTCGGTGTAACAAAAATATTTGGGGACATCATTGGCAATAGCATGTTGCATAATTTGAACATAGGAACAAGCCCGGGATTAACAAGCTTGTTTTTGAAGTCCAAAAATCTTCATCTAAATCAATAAAACTCATAAAATCTGTCTATGCTGCCAGTAGAAGAACAACCTATCATTAAATGTACCACTCCTCCTAAAGGATTAGTATGGAAGCAAAAAAGATAGTCTGCAAATTCTTCTTTTCCTTGAGTAAACAGTATCTTGCCATTGGATTTTCTCTGCATTATTTTCACGTTGATCTTGCTACTACCATTTGTCTCAAAATCACATGGAGGAATTTTTTCCCTTTTAAATAATTTCACACAAAACCGTTTTCCAAAGAAAAAAGTTGTCAAAGCTGTCTTTGAGTACAAACAACTCTTAAGCAGATCCAACACCTGTAAAAAGAATAAATTAATTCATAATCATCACAACATCAAATCATTCATTAATAAATGAAATCCTAAGCAATGTTATATATGCATATTCAAGTAATTGTGTATAAAGAAACCTGGTTCTTAGATATAGTCACGGTCATTTCATTAACCGAAGACATGTCCTATATTCCATAATTCTTGAGCAGATGAATAAAAAGTATCTAATGAATTTGGCAAAACTTTAAGCTCGTCCATGATTAAAAAGCTGCCATTACAATTCTTAACAAAACCATCAAAGACTCGAGAGCTTTCAGGAGAAATCTGTTTTGCCAACATGCTCCCACATCTGCATTTATTGTTTTTTCCGGTGCTTAATAATACGGGGTTAATGAGACAACACTTTAATAAGTTTGTTACACAAAAAGTACTCTGTGGGCTCTGTGTCGTGGATGTTTAGCTTCACATTCTTGCAATAAACTTCCATTGAGTTCTTGGGTCGTAATAACATCTTTGTATGTATCTATGCACACATACTCTTTTTCAAGATTCTTCACACTCTGATAGAGTGTGCTCTGTGATCCAACTTTACTTGGCTGCATATTTGGCTCCTTACGCAAAGTCTTGCAATAGTTCCTAAAGGCAACGTTAAGAAGCTAATCTGCAAAGTCCTTTCTTGCCTCTGCAAAGAGAACTTTGTTCTTTCTTTGATTACTGTAAAGAAAGTAACATGCTGCTCAGTTTTACTAGAAGCCATGGAAAGTTTCTACGAGAATACAACTTTATGTCGAAAAGTTGTGGTTTTAGTTAACCTTTCTTTTGTTGCCGAGAGCTTTTTTAAGCATTTCAAGTATTTATGTTGAAAATGTGAACTCACTTAACTCTAATGAACCATATTGTCTAGAAACATGCATTGTGAAAACTTATTTAAGGTATTTTCATGGTGAAAACATGGTCACTTAATTTTTAAATTTCAACCTTGTCCGTTGGCTTTTCACTTAACAAATTATGAAAATTTTGCAAATTCTATCAAAAATGTTAGAAACACATTTTTTATTACATTATTTTGAACAAACTTTTTTATTGGTCGAAAATTATTGAAAAACATAAAAATTGGTAAATCTTACATCGTATTTAATGACTCTTTTAATTTTATGATTTTTAATAAATTTTGTGTGTTAGAGAGCCGTTTCAAAGAGAGGGAATCGAATGGTTGCGTAATGGAATGCTGGTCCCGAAAAAGAAATAACAAAAGAGAATTTGTTTAGTCTCTTGAGTTTAAATTTTGTAGAGCTGTTTTACAAAATCTATTTAATGTCTAGATAATAAGGAAAATGAGATGACTCATGATATATAGGTGCATTGAATGGTTCCCTAAAGAGGTGGGGAAATGAAGGACTTTATTTTTTTTTAAAAAAATTATATTTACCTGCATGAAAAATCAGATCTAAAAGTTGATTGAACGATAAATTTGTGTTATGCAGAAATCTTATATTATAAAATGAAAAATTTATAAATAATTTATTATTAAGTCATATTAAACCTTAAAAATATATTTACATCATATATATTAGTTAGATTTAACTCTTAAAAAGTCTTTTTAATTCCATTTTTCACCCTTCTCTCATGACTAGAGCAACAGTGATTTTAATTTTTGTAGTTTAAAATTTGTCTTATATATATATAGGGATGGCAATGGGGCCCTGTGGGGGCGGGTAATAGTAAACTCGTCCCCGCCCTGCTAGATGAAAATTGGCTCCATACCCACCTCATATCCGCGCGGGTATTCATTAAGCGGGTATTTATGAATTTCTTAAATACCCACGGATATCCATGGATATTTATAAATCTTTTAATAAATTAAAAAATTTATATTATAAATAATTTTAAGTTTATATTTAATGTCATTAAAATATTAAAAATAAAAATTTATTGTTAATTTTGAACTTGTATTTAACGTTAATTATGTTAAAATAATAATAAAAAAGCAAGATAATTAATAACTTAATATACATCAATCTCACAAGTAAGTTAAAGTTTCATCATAAAGTTACACTAATTCAATCTCATAATTTCAAATGAAAGTAAATAACATTATAATACATAAATTTTATTGGTCCAATCAAAGCTAGAAAATTAATCCAATTACATCCAACATAATTCTATAACATGCTTAACATATGTTGGTAACTTCATTAACCTCACTTTGTAAGAAAATAAGATGAGAGAGTATAGTTTTAGGTTATGTGGTACAAGGATAATTAGGATATTTAAGAAATATTATTAAATGGGTACCCGCGGGTATGAATATCATCATACCCGCCCCCGTCCCGTTTATAAACGGGTAAAAAATTATTCGTCCCCATTATCTGCGGGTACCCAATTAGCCTATCCATTTGTTATCCGTAACGGGTTTTACCCGCAGATACGTGCAGGTACGGGTATTTTTGTCATCCTATATATATATAGAGAGAGAGAGGGGTCCAGTTATTTCAGGAGTAAGTTTATCTAGACTTATTTTGTTCAATAACTCATGTTCTATATTAAATTTCAACGATCTAACAGTTGAATTTAAAGTTCTTAATGCATAGATCAATTATGCAAAATTGTAAACAATTTGAAAAATTGACAAATAATTATAAAATATTTTATACATTGATTTAAATTAATGAAATGAAGTATTAAATAATTTTCAAATTTTTTTAAAAATTTACAAACTTGATTCATGCATTAAGAATTCTAATTTCAACAATTAGATCTTTAAAATTTAATGTAAAATATGAGTTATTAAACAGATTAAGTTTAAATAGACTTATTTATATATATATATATATATATTCCAATTACTTTATTTAGAGATAGGTCAAATATATTAATAAAAAAGATTAGGTATAATATCATTAAATGTTTAATAATTAATTAAGGATATAAAATCATTAAACTAAATTTCTTCTGATAATTAAAATTGATTGTAAGCATCTTCATTAACAATACCTTTTAAGATTGGATCTAGTTTAAAGTCAACATATTTCAATAGGAATAGTGTTCAATTTCAGTTTAAAAGGGTGAATTCATGTTTATGGAGTAAGGATTAATCTTTCAAACGCTACAAAAAAATTAATTTAACTAATAATGAACTCATGATCTAACTTAATACTATAAGCTCAAGGAGTAAGATTATTTGTCAAATAACTAATAGTATATATATTACAATTGGGATTTGTTCATTAGTACGTAATCAAGATGCAGATTCATAAATTTTACTTTAATTTCATTTTCATTTATTGAAAGTTTGAAATATGATATATAAACAGTGACAGAAGTTTCTACAGCCACGCTCACCGCGTCCAGGAAAATTTAAAACAAAAAGGATTGCATTCATAATGTATTTTCCTTATGAAATATAAAAAATTATTTGGTTTGAAATCACAAGCAACATGTTAGAACAAGTATAGGCAAGATAGAACGTAATCCAAAAAATATATCAAATACTCCTTCGATCTTTTACTAAGTGCTGTGTTAAAATAAAAAGTTAAAATAAGTTTTATGTAAAATTTTTAATGTAGTATTCAAATTAATTACCTCTTTTCTCTTTATACCTTTCATAATATCTTTAAAAGCTAGTTATTGTGGTGAATTGTTTCTAACAACGAAAAATAATCATAAAGTTAATTTTGTATAACCCTCATCCTCTTTTATCTAATTATTAGTTTTTCTTGATCTTTGTAAAACAATCTAGAACAATATTATTATATAACAGATGAAGTATATGAAAAAGAGAAAATTTAGGTACAATTTTTTAAATGATATTGATGTCATTATCTAATCAAAGTTGAAACTTTATGCAGATGAGATTATTTTTCAATTAGAGTTCAAGTTTTATTTTGATATTATGCACTTGTATTTAATACAAGTTTTGTTAATATACAGTTATGCGTAATATAAAATAAAATACTAATTCTAATTGAAGAACAAAACCACCTACACATAAAGAATCATACCTAATTTTATTCATACAAAAAATTAATTTTTGTTTTTAGAAAATTAAACCGAACACATAACCACTTAAAAACTGACATCCAATTTAGTTTTATGATTTTATTTTATCATGCAAAGCTAGTCACTTAGGAAACACCTCATTGTGATTTGAGGGGAAAAAATATCCTAGAAAGAATTGGTATTCAAGACTGCCAAGAAAAA